GAAGGCCTATATGAAGGCTATTGTGACACACTGCTGATTGCAGCATCAGCATTTTGTTGTTGTCATATGAGTTTTTTAATTTATATGCTGTACATGCATCAGTCAACAATTTATCACAAAAATTAGGTGTAATTTGATGCATAAATTGACACTGAGTCACCTTTGCTTGACTTTAATAGTTTTGTGAATAAGTCAAAAGTTATAGTAACAAAAGTAAAATGAAAATTTTATTAAAAAATATCAAACCTAGTCAACATATTGGCAGATATTTATTTGCTTGACTTTCAAATACAACGTAGGCTAATGTTATCGGAAAGAACAGACTTCACCCTTTTTGTCTGATGTTTCACTGGGAATCTTCCAGATATTTTTACAAACTCGAGCTGCAGAGGGCAACCAAATATTTTCTGCTCTTGATGCACAGCAATGCACCAAAAAATAAATAAATAAAAATACAATAAAACAGAAAGGAGCTGAGAAAGGATGGGCACAAATTAAAGAAATACCTGCAATATTTGTTACATTAATATTGAAAATTTTTAAGGAAAATATTATTGCTAATGTTTATAATATATAGAAATGTTTGACTGAATGCAAAACGTCAGAGACTCAAAGAAGGAAACTACAATGAATAACGTATATAGATATATGTCACGTTTCGGGAAGTGTTCTTTACAGCAAATAACTAGTGGCTATGTGGGTATGTATGCATGTTTTGATTTTTTATTTTAAAATTTTATACAAAATATAATACTGGCAGGATGAAGAAGATATTTCTACCAGCCTTAATTTTGTCCAAAAACTCCATGCACTCTAATTAAAATGTGTCAGAAACAACATATCATGATGAACCAGTATTAAAATTATACTTACTGTAGATATTATATATTGCTTACTATATGTATTAAACTTATTCCTACCTATGTATTAAAAAAAAACACCATATTACAGCTATCCTAACTGATCTAATCATGTTTTTATCAGGCATTAACACATCACAGCAGCCACATTCACTAAAACCTTTCTGTTGTGTAAAGATTCCTGTGTGTTCCTTTTCGCGAACAACAAAATAGCCGAAGGGATTTTTGAGTTTCTTTGAGCTTCCTTCCGTCTGAACGTCGTGGTCGGAGCAGGTCAGGGTGAATGACTCCTGACAGAGAAAAGGAAGACAGAGGTAGAAATGTGCAATGTGATGTGAGTAACACAGACAGGGCAACATCACACATTTTTTCTCTTTTTTCTTTTTTTTTTTTACCGGTACTCCTAGTTAAGTGGATTAGCAGTGCCACCCTGGGGGCCCACGCAGACCTAAAGCTCCCGTCACAAACACAATTAGGCAAAACAAACTTTTTTTCCCTCCTCTCCCCTCTTACTCTCTGGTGGAGGTGACTGTTGGGAAAATGTTGAGATGATCAGGATAAGCATGAAAAAGGCATCCAAAATGCACCCTTATCGTGCATTACCACCAGGACGATGTGGCGTGTCATTAAACGAGTTGGGTGGCTCGTTGGTAGCGAGGCAGAAGTGAGAACTGATTGCTATTCGGAGCACCTGTTGTGGCAGCCTGGAGACAGATGTTGCATATAGTTTGATGCTGGTCACAACTGGCAGCTGCTCTTTAATGAAAGAAAAAAGTGCCAAAAATTAAAACCGATCCTTTGATATTCTGCATATGTCCGTGTGTGCTGTTCATCTGTCATCCGCTCAAAGCGACACTTCAGATCTTTTGAAGCGGGCTTCTGTGGAAGGGTTACGAACAATTAATATCTTAGATTGGTCTTTGAGCGGCCTCGGTTTGGAGAAGATATTTGCTCTGACTGGAATGATGAGCTTAAGCCCAGGGGTCAAGACCAAAGTGGATTACTTTAGTCTTATCTCAAAAGTTTTATAAGCGGTTCATGCTAATGCTATTTTAAAAGCTTTACATCATCATCAATTTTGCATTACACAGTTATTCATACAGAACTTTATGGGTATTTGCAAGAGCAAAAAGCAACAGCAACTAGTTGGAGCAGTTCTGGTGCAGCCTGGGGCAGGAATATTATAAGATTTTATCATTTCTGCCAAAGTATTCACATATTGCAAGATTGGTGGCAGTCTAAAATTTTCTAAAATAGTGGATGTTTAAGTTACTACACTGAAAAACAAACTTTTGGGTGTAGTAACATTTATTTAATTATTCTTTTAAATTTTACAAAAAATGTCAAAATCTCTAAACTACTAGAATTTACAAAATAAACAATACGCATTATATTATTTATCAATATTACTGTACAAAAAAAGTAAATGTTAATATTATTTTACCAGTAATATTTAAATGCTTTTTCTGGACAGCACATAAACATGAATATATTAAATAACTTCTACTCTTCTGGGCTAAAACTGAGGGCGCATGCGCACACAAAGGCTACTGCTCCTCATTCCCTTGCTTCACTTTTCAAGAAGAGGACAAGACATGGTCGAAATGAAACACAAGTTGTCCGGTTTCTTTTGCTTGAATCCATTTGTTGGTGTGCAATAGTTTGATGGCATGACGTAGGTGATATTTAGTTGTCAGGGAACAGGGAATGCATATTGTAGCATTCTGCTGTGTTTGGCTGTTTGTCATGTGACTGCAGTGGAGGATTGTGGGTAGGATTCATGTTTGTTGTTGTTAAATCATTTTAGCGAAATGGTTAGCATCGTTATGTCAGCAATTAGTCTGTTTTGTTACTCTAATTTGTGTGTTCATTATTTGTTAGCTTGTGTTAAACCGTTCAGCAGAAGTGGTAGGCCTAGTCATTAATAAGACCTGTGAGTTTCATTTTGTCTGTTTTGTTCATGAAAAAGAATCCAATAAAGTATCTTCAAAACTGTCACCTGGTGGTGAAGTCTTGAACTACATCAAGAGCCACACCTCTCTCTGTAGCTGTGAGATATGCTACAATATTGTGCTTGACGCTTGTACACTGTTAAAAAAACTTGAGATTTATATGAAAAATCCTCGTAAAAAATTGCACTAATGTTTGTTAAGTAAATGTAAATGCTACAAATTCAAGTAATATTTACTCATTACCTAGTAAAAGTTGTTACGAATATAGTTAAAGATTTGTGAATAAATCAGGTACCGTATTTTTCGGACTATAAGCCGCACCGGACTATAAGCTGCACCCGCCATTTAAAAAAAAAAACCCGTGAACATTAGCATATAAACCGCACCCCCAACATAAAAAAACAGTACACCCAAAATTGTCGTCAAAAAAGTGAATTCAACATCAAAACATAAAACACAAACCTTTAAGAATTAAAGTTCGGAGGAATACGGTTCATTTAACTGACCTTATTTTGGTAGTTTTCTTTAACAGTTTCTGGTCCAAAAAACGTCTCATTCATCGTCCTCCTGCACACTGAAACCATCGAAGTCCTCTTCTTCAGTGTCGGAGTTAAACAAGCTGAGAAAAGCTGCGTCACACAGTGGTATCTGTTCAGTGTTGCTTTCTGTGTCGCTGTCCTCCCGGGGCTCTGAAGCTGTGGTGCCCTCTTCACGCAGCAGTCCAGACTTTCGGAACCCATTGGTGATGGTGGACTCGTTCATTCGGCTCCACGCTGTTAGGATCCACTGGCAGACATCAGGAAATGACGCTCTTCGCATTCGGCCAGTTTTTGTGAATGATTTATCCCCGTCAGTCATCCAAGCCTCCCATTCACCCATGAGTGCTACTTTAAATGCACGATTCACACTGATGTCCAGGGGTTGCAAAAACTTTGTTGTACCTCCAGGAATAACAGCAGGAATTGAGTTTGTTTTCTTGATGGCTGCTTTCACCGAATCCGTGATGTGGGCCCGCATACTGTCCAATGTCATGTCTGTCGAAGATCCGTCATGTCGTGTCTGCTACTAGCTAAAACAAAATGGCGCTACACCTCCGGCTTAGCTGGCAGTATGGTCGCTCGGCTGTCGACCGGTCGACGCGCCGTCATGTGGTTGTTCGGCGTTCGTTTTCGCACTGACCTTTCATAGTTCCCCCGAGCTGAGCTGCTGGGAAAGCCCTCCCACTCCAGCATACGTCACTGCATGGGATTCCATCCCCAGGGAGTGCAATGCGGAAAAAAAAAAGTCTGTGGCTCTTCACTCGACGTTGTTTATTCACAAACTGGTCCCGGATTAAGCTCTAAAGTTTTTATCAGTCAGATTCCACCGTGAAAAATGTCTATTTTATCCCCTTTTATGAGTTTTTGGCCATTGACTACGGATCGCTGCTTCCTGGTACAACAGTCGGCTCTGGAAGCGATCGCCTTTTTCTTCTTTTTTTTTCCTTTCTTTTTATGAAGTGAGTGGTTGAAGCAAATGCAGCACAAGAGCCCCCATCTCTGGCTTAGAGCCCCCTGGTGGCTGAAGAAAAAATCCACGTATAAGCCACTGTTACGGCCCCTTGAAACACAGGAGGGGTCACAACACATTTAAGGAGGACACAAAGACAGAACTCAGGAACAAAACGCTTTTATTATTTATTCTTCCTGGTCCTCCAAAAAAAAACCCTTTCTAAAAAACCTGGACTGCCACATGGTTCAAAGTTCAAGAAAAAAGTTGCGGCTTATAGTCCGAAAAATACGGTAAATTTTACTTAATTTGATGAAGTATATGTTACAAGATTTAATTGAGCAAATTATGTAAAATTTACCTGATTTTTTCACAAATCTTTAACTTTATTCTTAATAGCTTTTACTAGATAACGATGAGTAAATATTACATGAATTTGTAGCACTTAAATTTACTTAACAAACGTTAGTGCAAATCGTTTATAGGATTTTTTCAAGTAAATCTTAAACATTATTTTTTCAGTGTATGATTATTTTAGGATGTTACTCCAATCAGAGCTAATCTTTATTTTGCCAAACAGAGGTCATTCAAGGAGCTATTTTTTATTTATTTTTTCGCTCATAACCTTTCCACAAAGCAACCCCTCGGATGATCTGAAAAATCTGTTTCAACCCATCTTCTTTTTTTTTCTTATCTGTAGGTCAAGACTGGCTGATTATGTTGCAAACTGCTGGACAACATCGCACCCAGGAAGCACCTGTCCCAACCAAGACAATCCCGACGCCTGCTCAGCTTCTTACGCGCGGCTCATCGGTCAGTATGTAGCTGTGGGTCACTCTAGTATGACTTCAGAATCAGAAAAGGGTGGGAGCAAAACTGACGGGCTACAGAATCAACAAATGTATCCAAAAGAAATTCAGGTACATATTTGGATAAAGGACAATGTTTGTAAGAGTCCAGAAGAAAATGATGATGGATGAGTTTGGTCTAGTTTTATCACAGGGACCAGCATGAGGATTTAGACAATTTTATTTTATTTATTTATTTTTTTTCTCCACCTGGTCTGATATCTCTACCAGCAGACTGGACATCAGTTTAGTACCAGGTGTAAATTAAGGAGGTTGAGGTACTGAGAGAGTGTTTACTTAATTAAAACACTTGTCGACCATCTGTTTGCTCATAACAAATGTTGTGCAAATATTGTGACTAGTGACAAAATGGTCCATGTATATTTTCTATTTTTAGCCTATTGGCACCTAGGTGATATTGTGGAGGCAACGTCTTTAGATTAAAGAAAAAATTGTAAATGCAGATTTACACACACGCACGCGCACACACACACAC